ATTCCCAATTGGCGTCAGTTGGTGTAGAAGAGAAACGACTAACGTGCTTTTTTGGGCTCGGTCAGAATCGCTTACAGAAGAAGGACGTGAATCAACCCCAAAGTGATTCTAGTTAAAAGTAAAGTCTTCCTTTTCTTTCTTTCCTTATAAATTAAGAGTCTTTTTCACTGTCAGCTTCATTTCCTTTGTTAAGGTTTAATAAAGCAGAAAGATAAGTCCGATAGGACTAATTTAATAATAGCATCCACTGCTCACTTTAAACGAAGAAAGTGCAGTGTTGATTTCATATGTTCAGTATCTCAACATCATTTCAAACTTGTATTTCATTTTTGTTTTTTGAATTCTTAATTTTATTAATTTAATATATGAGTATATACTAAACAAAATTTAAGAGTTCATAGTGTACTATAACTCCTCACATCTTCCACCGGCGCGCATATAGCCTGGATAACATTCACAAACATCCGGCGCTGTACAAATGCCATTAGAACAATCTTCCGTGCAGATGGGTTCACAGCGCATTGCCGTCGAGCGAGTAATGCGCAAATAACCAGGACAACAATACGAGATTGTTTGCATTTTCAATGTAGGTTCATTAGCTTCACCGCTAAAAAGTGAAAAGTAAATGTAAATAAATATTTTTGCTAAACTTTTGACAGATCAAAAATGAAAAAAGTACGATTTTTTATTTTTTTTTTGTCTATTACATAAAAACAGGGACCGAACATAGCAGTTATTGATGAAAACTGTCAACGAAGTTATACATACCAATTGATTTCTTTTTCATCGAGACACAAATTTGAAAATACATTCTTATTTTCAATTTTTATGCAAAATTAAAAAAAATAACAAATATTTTTGATTTTCATATTATTAAACAAAATAAAAATTATTTTTAACTTTTATATTATATGTCTTAGATAACAGTTATTGAAGACTTTCATTTGTAAAAGTCATCACTATAAATAAGTCACTGACTTGTATTTTTTAATCATTCATATAAACGTCATTGACTTTTTTCCCAGTTGAGAAGGTGTTGGGAAACAAAAGTTTACTACGCCTTATACAAATGATTTTTATAAGTATGATTAAAAAAATAAAGGTCAGTGACTGATTTTTATTTATGACCTTTATAAATAAAAGTCTTCGATAACTGTTATCTAAGACATATAATTTAAAAAATCAAAAATAACTGTTGTTTGCAGATAATTTAGATAAAAATCAAAAATAATTGTTATTTTGGATTTGTAAAATAAAAGTCAGAAATAACGGTTATTTAAGGGGTAATTAAATAAAAGCCAAAAAATAATTGTTATAGAGCGATTTTTTTAATTAAATTTGTAACTGTTACGGTCGCTGCATAAAACTAACGAGCCCTAACCGCCAAAATAACGTAAGCGATATTTTTTTCAAAATTTTTCTAGATGCATTTCTGCATCGCTTACGTTATTTTCGCGGCTAGGGCTCGATATTACGTATAAAGTATACATATATTTTTTAAAAAAGCCAAACAAACTTTCACTCACAGCACTTCCTTATAGCAAATACCGGATGCCATTAACGATTTCGTTTCCAATATAAAAAGGTCTTTATCAGTTGGACTATTGAGTTTCCAAAATTGCGCATTCGCCACCTTTAGATTTAAAATAATGCACAGTGCAAGAAGCAGCGTGCTGAAGTGTTTGAAATTTCTCATTTTTAAGTGATATAGCTTTGAACCAAAATACATATTTTCTTCAATATATTTTTAATATTTTTATTTTTTTTTGATATTAATACAATATATATATTCTTAATAATCCGCCATGCGTGTATCACTTTCTTCACCTAAAGCGCCACGCTGATTATGTCTTTAGTCTAGCATGCTCTTCCGCCATCACATCACTGACTACAATTTTCCTCTTTTCTTTTTAAAACATTTCTTAATATGTCGTCTCTTGCGCTTTATATACATTTTTCTCTTTTTCCTTAAGAAAGATTCTGTGGTTTGCGCAAAGAAAGTCAATACACTATTGCTCGTTCCGTTCCAATGCCTGACTGATAAGACAAACAGCTGATACAAATTTCTCTAGTCGATTTTACTCAATAAAGTGCATACGTATACATACACACATACATATAGCTCAGTAAAGGAGAGCACAAGCTGTAACGTTGAAATTCTGAGCGCAATTAAAATTTTACAAAGTTGAAAGCATATAAAAAATTGAATCTACATAAGTATAAGATTACTAAGCAGTCAAGTAACCTACATTTAATTGGATGCGCAGTGGCATCAAAGTTCACGGGCCATGGTTGATTATTTTAAATAGATGCTATTTTGAGTCTTTTATGCTCTTTTAATTTATTATCATATATTATATGTAGCAAAGATTCAAGGCTTCTAGATTTCTTATTGTATTTTTGCATTTTTTTTTCAGTAAATATTCGCCGTTTTAAAGGCAACAAACTCAGTCCGCTTATTAGCTTTAAATTTCATTCACCACAAATTCTGCTGATTACTTTAAAGCTTTGTGCCTAAAAGTAGATTATAATTGCTGCAGCAAAAGCTTTATTGGTGATCTCTGTATGGCGATAAATCGAACGAGTTCAAGACTAACGCAGAAATGGCTCTTTTAGGGTCAATGGCGGCAGTACTTTTATATAACGTCCCAATAAACATTTCTGAAAAAAAATCTCAATTTGAGATGCATTTAAGGATCAGTCCTTTTCTCAAACTTCAAAACGTAAGTCCTCAAATGCATCTCCAATCACCTTTGATGGCTATCCCAAACTGCCCAAACTAACAGGTACTTTCTAATATGGAATTTTCCCTTATTTTTCAGATTGAGAACTATTGAATTCTCTACTTTTTCTCAAACGTGAGTGAAGCGGAACGAAATGGAATTCACTTAGTCTCATTGAAATTATTTAGAGTGCTGCCAAAAAGAGGTATGTAAAAGAAACACACAGTTTTTATAGGAAAGTTTAACAGTTTATTTCAGAGCTTATTTATTCAATTTGTTTAACAAAAAAAATAAAAAATACGGTTGATGTAAAAAATTAGTTGCATACAGTTTGCTTTTAACATTCTATCGTATAGGTAGGAAAAGTGTTTCAAGTATAATTAAAGTGTTTATGCTCTATTGAAATTATACAAATTCTTAAAAAAATGCATTTAGTGGAAACAAATTTCCTGGTTTTCACCGATTTTGGGATTTACTGCGATTTTTTCTCCACAAAAATATTAAAAAATTTTTTTTATTAGGATTTATTGCATTTTTAACATAAAATAATTATTTCACTTTAAGTAGACAAACTATCGGCCACTTTCGATGCAGCAGGCTATTTCTTTCTTTCGTTTTTAAATTTTAATGGCCGGTCGGTAGACCATATCGGCAAATCAGCTTACAAAAGGTCAATCACAAAATAACTTTATAAAAAATGTTCATTCGTATTAGTAAATTAAATGCATTTCAATTCATTCGCACAAAAAGGGTCGTTGTCGCTGCAAAGAAGGCTCCTAGCCATTTTGCGACAGAAAAATTGCGAATAATGCTTGAGAAAATGTTTAGTTTATAGACAAACACTGCAAAAATCAGATTGAGAAGTGAGATTTTCTGAAACGTTTGAGAAGTTTTTTTTTTTGTAAATTTCTTCTATTCACAGGCGATAAAAAAAAATTAATTTTTTGTATGAATATTTTGAATGAGGGCTTTCCCTTATTCACTGTAACTATCAATATCGATATATATATCGAAATTTTCATTGATATCGATATACTTATCGAAATTTTTATAGATGTCGATACATTTGTCGCATTTTTTCGGATATCGATATATTTTTTGAAAATTTTGCTGGTATAGGATCGTTTTTCTGATCTGTTTATCGATATTCTTATTCTTGTATTTATTGCTGTAATTGCGGTAATATAAACATTAATTCTTATAGATATCGATATCATGAAATGCCTCTAAGTATATCAGTATTCCCATTTTTGTATTTATCGCTATATTATACTTATGGATATTTTTATAGATATATCGATACTATTAAATGCTTATTAGTTTATCGATAGTTTTAGTTTTTTGTAGTTATTAGTTTTTGTATCATTTTGTTTTTATTATTATAGCTATCGGTTTAAGTTTACACTTACTTGGTTTTTATAGAAATAATTTTCGTTATCAACATAATTCATTATGAATATTTGCTTCGTTTTCGATCATATTCTTATCATCCTTTTTATCGATACCACCACGATATTTGCTAAGAGGTCGTACCGACGAGATGGCCAGAGCAAACTCAGGGAGCCTATGTCGAGATTCCTGACGTCCTAGTACCTCTGACATTCACAGACATCTTCAAAGTCCACGCCACACTCAGAATCGTAAAGATTCCTCTTATGCCAACATGCATTAAGAGGATTGTGCCACGTTTGGAGAAACCCCAAACTCAGAAAGTGCCCGAAGTCTGGATTCCCTGCTACAAACTCTATACGGAAGGAAGGTTGCCCCAACGGTCCTGCCACATACCTAGGAGTAACTCCTCCGGCAACCGGTGGATCCCACCTGTCAAGGACGGAATGCCCATACTCCTTCTTAACCTAAAATGAGGGCGCCTCCATCAGTACCTGCAGTGCGTCCACCAAAACAGTGGACACAGGAATACAAACCAGCAACAACGTCCTTCGGCAGGACAGTACATTCTGACGTCCCCAACCGACAAACATAGCTGTCTGGTATCAAATAGTGGATCCGAAAGCACCACAAGCCACCAACAGGCGCCGATAAATGATACACCGGCCGAGGCCCAGTCGCATCTCAGGATTCGTCGTACCTGTCCTACAACACCAACCAAGTGCTCTTTTAGGCGCACCTGCTTTGCCTTCGAAAAAGTTCAAGGAATTTCAGTAGTTTTCTGTGTCCGTCAGCGTTTACTGCCATCTGTTCTGTTAATCGCAAAGTATTCATCTGCGCCACTATTTCAGCGATACTAAGCTTCATTTAGAAAGCCAAAGTATGAAATCTATGCTGTTTTTTTCGAAATTCTCTTAGCACATCTTTTATTCAGTTATGTTTTCAGTTGTACTAAAATTGGCGCTGAATTACGCTCCAGAATTTAGTATGTAAAAGTAGTTCAGAAACTGAGGACGTCCGATTGAAAACATCGGCAGTTCTTTTTATAAATTTTTTATTTTATTATTGCTTTTATTGCAACATATTTGTTATTGTAAATTTTTCATCGTTTCGCTTTTGTCGAAACTATGTCACTTCTACGCGCTCTAGCTGTCAATTCGCTCTTATCATTCGCCTTTCTGTTTTGCTTTGTCTATGGTGCGCTGTTTGAAAAGTATTGGAGCACCACAACAACCAGCACAACAACCACCGTCAAGCCATGGCACGTACGTCAGCCAGGCCTATCGTTGCCATTGCCCAACAGCCATCCGTCTAAGTGTTGGCGCGAAGTGCCGTGAGTATGTGGAATATATGTACCTACCAAAATATAGCTTTTTATGTATACAAATTATCGGTGTTTTCTTCACTTTGACAGCGCTGTTTTCTTCCAATTCGAGAAGGATGTGCAAGTTGTGGGCAATAGTACACTTAGTCCCTACTTCAATCTCGTAGAAGTCTGCTGTAAGGGTTACAAGCGCTATGACTTCGATTGGAATCGTTGTGTGCCGGATTGTGGCAACAAATGTCAGGCCAATGGCTTCTGCTTGGATGGCGGCATCTGTCGTTGCTTTGACGAATTTGTGCTCAATCATCGCAATGTCTGCATACCGATTTGTCCGTTGGGATGCCCGAATGGTCAGTGCTACTTGAATGGCACTTGCATTTGCCAAGAGGGCTATGAATTGGATCCGACACGCAAATTCTGTATGCCACGTTGTGAGTTCAGTTGTGCGCACAATGAGATTTGTGTCGAGCCGAATAAGTGCGAGTGCGCTGAGGGCTATACGCGTGCACTGCCACCCAGCACCATGGGTTGCCAGCCGATTTGCATACCGGACTGCGGGTTCGGACACTGCGTGGCGCCAAATCACTGCGAGTGCTTCCATGGCTATTTGAAACGTTTGAATGGTAGCACGTGTGAGAGTAATTGTTATATGTAAGTGAACTCGGAAGCTTTGTTTGTCCTTAAGTCATTTGCTCTTTTAATCCTTTCTGAAACTTGCAGGCGCTGCGAGAGTGGTTTTTGTGCAAATCGCACCACCTGCGTCTGCCAGAATGGCTACCGTTTCGATCAGAATACCACCTCTTGTCTGCCAGTGTGTGATGAGGATTGCGAAAATGGCATTTGCCTATCACCAGGCGTCTGTCGTTGCTTCAATGGTTATGTACGTCGTGGTCCTAAGTGCGAGGGCATATGCGAGAAGTAAGTTTCAACTATTCAGTACAATTTTAAGTTAAGTATTTTAGCTAAGATACATTGCTGTTCGTTTTCTCTAGCGGTTGCGGCTTCTATGGTAAATGCATTGCTCCCAACGTTTGCGGCTGTTCCATTGTTGAGGGTCCGATGCGCAACTATCAACGCTGTGCGAATGGAAATTGCAATTCAAAGGGTCGTTGTCGCTGCAAAGAAGGCTACGTACGTTTTATTGATCAATGCATGGAACCGGATAAGGTGACCACATACGCCTCTATGAGGCCCAGTCGCTTAAATGAGACTCTGCTGCAGGAATTCAATATGCTGATTGGCAGACATTTTATGTTTCAATACAAAATTTTTCCTTACTATTGAATTGTGTAGTTTTTATAGAATATTTCCACGATTACTTAAAATGATCATTAAGACTACATTAATATATTTGCTTTGTTTCTTTTATTGAGAGTAATTTTTTTCTATAAATTATTGGTCAATTTAAGATACATACATGGCGTATGAGTAATCTTTAAACTACATAAATACATACATACGTACATGTGCGGTGTGATATTGGAAATTATATATGGATGTATATCGATATCAATTAGTGCCTACGATATTGATAACCATAGGTATAGAATAACTCTTTATCGCAAAAAGCATATTGCCAGAAATGTAAATAATTTTATCGTTAGACATATCGGTGAAAACATTCCTTAATATATCGATACATATCGAAAAATATCATGAATGTGACGAAAAATTTTAATGCTAAACATTTTAAAATAATTAAATGAGTTATACTTTGGGAATAATTACATAAATATACATACATATCGTTGAGGCTGTTGCAAAACCGCCTAAATCGCCTTTGTGGCAAAAATGAGATTTGGTAATCCTAAATTCCAGGCATAGAGATTTATGCATCAAACACGTAAGATCGTTATTAAAACAACAGATTTGCCAAATAATAGCTAGAGAAAATACCGCCTATCTTTTTTCGCTGTCCTGTAAAATTTGAGTGCCGCAAGAGAGGCGATTTTCCAATCGATCGATGGGCGGTTTTGCAAAGGCATCAATGATATAATAAAATATTATACTAGAAGGGTTAGATACTGTAGCAATTCGAGCATTTTTCTAGTTTTTTAAGACCCTTGGAGAGATTTTCCAACTTAGCACGTCGTTTAAGGTACAAAATTACATACCGGAATATCTTCAGCTTTGAAACTAAAACGTGACTAAAACCTTTTATATCTTTAGGGGTCTTGGAAATGGCCCCATAGATTCCAGTTTGTCGATGAATTTCGATAATTTGATACATATCGATAGTTCGGCGAATTTAAAAATCACTAAAATCAGATAAATCCAGAAATTCGATAACTCGACTAATTTCGATAATTGTCAATAAATTCCGATAACCAGATAAATTTTCATAACTAAGATATGAATATATCTCGATATAAATCGACAGCTCGATAAACTTTGAATACCTCAATAAACTTCTATAATTCGATAAGTTCGATAATTTATTACACACTGATAAAACGATAAAATTCGATAAGTGATAACTTGCTAAACTTACATAACCTTGGAATTTCAATAACTCGATATATGTAGTTTTAAAATTCTAAAAACTTCGATTCGACCAATTTCAGTAAATCAATAGATATAGAGAAGTTCAAATAACTCAATACATTACGATTACTCGTTAAATTTCGATAACTCTATAAATAACGACACTTCAATAAATATAGGTAAGTTGATAAATTCCACTAACTTAACGCAACGCAATAAACATTGATAATTCGATACGTTTAATTAATTTTTTATTTATTGATAAAGGTGGATAACTCGTTAAATTTCCATAACATTAAACTTCAATGATTCGATAAATTTTATTCCTTCGGAAAAAAATATTTTTGGTAATAAGATTAAAAAACAAAAAATAATATTAAGGGCAAAACTTTTAGGGCAAAACCGATTTTAAGATTTAACATTTTTGTATTTTTTTGGTTAGATATCAGATTTTACCATCAATCAATTTACAACTCAAGCCATGTTCTTTTTTTTTTAAATTTATGCTTACGGTCCTGAGAGGGTTAAGAAATCTTTCTGAATAAGTCGAGAAAAATCATTCAAGCGAGAGCTATTATTTATATAAAAATACTTATATTTTGTCTTTGAATAACTATTAAAATCTGCAAACAAATGAATACTTGTTTAACTCAATGCTAATTCAATATTATTTTGCCACTCTCAATGACACTCCTATAATAATGCGCAGATCTTTTGGCTATACGTTCCTTATTTGGGCTCGTCAAATTCACATAGTAAAGGCCATATTTCAGACTGCAAGTAAATCAAATAGAGAGAAATGTTAATTTTGTTTGATAGAAAAATATTAAAAGTTGTACTAATTGGAAAAAATAAGTAAAGGAAAAATTAAGGTTAATAAAAAATTGTATGGAACTTACGTGTAGCCCATATTCCACTCGAAATTATCGATTAAACTCCAATGTGAGTAGTGAGTAACATTGCACCCATCATTGATAGCATTGAGCACTGCTTGCAAATGAGACTGAAAAGTAGGACAATAAATTTAAAATTACTAAAAATAAGTAAAAAAAAAAAAATATTTTGAAAGTTCGTTTATCTTTTAAATAAGCAATCCGAAAAGCGGGATCCCCGAAATTGTGTTTCATACAAATATAAATAGCGCCAAAAAATAGACATGGTATTCTCCCTAAATGGAGTTGGTCTCTTAATGCCTCTCTATCAAAGCAAAATACTACGGTCTTGTTCTTGATAGAAGTGAAATGAGGAAACGCGTGGTTTGAAACCAACAATCTAAGGATGTGCAGAGCTTTTGCTTCAGGTCGCTGTCTGAGCACCGACTTTAGACAACCGGTTTGTGCGCAAGCAAAACTTGACAAGAGATGACGGAAATTCGACCCAAAATAAATCGAGTCTGCAACAAGTTATAGTGCTCAAGGGAGCCGTATTCTACTCAAGAGCGAATTCGTGCTTCTATTTCGAAGACCAGTTCGCAACTAGTATACCTTAGAAAAGCGATCGCTTAAAGCCGATCAACAATGCTGATAATATGATTCCCTAGCAAGAACTTTCATTAAACCTCAGTCTCCGGCTTTCTGGCAATTGCAGCGTTTTTCAACCTGAATTGGAAGTAATTATGCAAGCCGAAATTCAACTAAGAAATGTTCCAATTCTTCCATCAAGCTGAAATCGAATATCTAAATTAGTTGAATATGGGTTCCTGAGTAAACGGAAAATACTGGGAAGGCAAATGAGCCCATTTAGATGAGAACCATCGTATGAAGCGAGTGAAGCCTGTTGCACCCAACGAGCATTGGGCAATGAGCCCACTTGTTGCTTCATAAAGCAGATCTGGGCCAGCCACAAATATAAGTCTCTGATCGCGCTTCAGCGTGCTTTTATGCATTATAATCTGGAACAGAAAAAAAAAACAAATGAGCTACCCATTGTCTTCACCTGGCAAAATAACAACGACTTCGGGTTTTTAATAAACAATTCTTTCATTATCCAGCCTACTTGGAACCTGTGGACATTAGAAGTGTTATACGCCTCATCAACACGTCACGATTGTTCTGTCACAGCTTCCTCTCGAGGCATCACATTGAGCCAAAATGGCCTGAGTACGCAGAAGGGTCGCCTCTAACGAAACGTAGCCTAGCCTAACATATACCTTGCCGTCTAAATGGGTTCATGTATTGAAAATTTACCTGGAGATAGTCCACACGATCAGAGTCTTCCAACTGTCCTTCATCCGACCAACCGTTTTCAGTCACATACACCTCTACATTGTCGTAGTGTTCGCGTATCCATCTGAAAATTGGAAAAAAATTTTATGAAGGGGGTTAGGAGATTTTTGTAAGAACTCAATATTAAAAATTTTAGACTCTCACGAAAATTAGAGTGCGCCGTTTTTTTTCTATTTACAAAAGTACTTATGTGATGTAATTGAACTATGTGGTTTACACTTCAAATTAGCAGTAACGGTAATTTATTCGTCATGTTTATTTATCATGCATCGAAACTACGGTGACCACCCGTTCTGTTTTTTGCAGCACCGGACTGTTATTCAAAGGTCTGTCCTGCGTAGTTTTTCAAAACAGAAAAACCTGAAAATATACTGATTTTTTCCCAACAAAAAAATTATTATTCAGAATTTTTAGAAAAATTCTAAGTATGCAGTTTTATAGCCCATTAAATTGTAGCTAAAAGTTTTAAGTGGCTAAGAATTCGCGTTGATTTTTGATAATTTTTCTGCCAATGATGTTATTATTTTCTTACACACAAAAAAAAAAATATTGGAAGATACAGTGACTTACACAAGTGTTCACGTGTTGGTTTTTTAATTTGCTCAACTTTTTTAAGTAAAATTTTTGGTGTTATATTTCTTATAATATATAATTTTATCCAAGCTTAAGCCAAAACCATATAAATAAATTACTGTTTCAAACTTTATGCAAAATTTAGTTTCAAGCGCATAAAAAATCGCGTTGATTTTTGATAATTTTTTTTTTTTATAGAACAAGAGCAAATTACAAACACGGGCTTTGATTTTTTTTTTTTAAATTTTGTTGCGAACGGCCTCCCGCATATTATTTCATACGAAATTCATGCTTATATGGCAAAAAGTGCAAAAATCCGTCAGAAAAAAAAACAAAATATTTAAAATCAATGCGATACACAACTGCATACACAAATATGTTGTAGAGATTCAGATGAAAATGCTCAAAATTTTGATGAAAGTGTGATAAAGTTTTTTTGACTTTGTATAAAGTGTAAAACTCTCGTTTATATGGTTTTGGCTAAAGCTTGGTAAAAGCTTTTATAGAAAAATACCAAACAAAATTTTACTTGAAAAACTTTGTGAATATTAAAAAAAAAAAATCAACACGTGAACACATGTGTAAGTCACTGTACTTTATAGGGAAGAAAACGCGTGACACCGTCTTGCAAAAAAAAAAAATATCAAAAAACCAACGCGAATTCTTAGCCACCACCAATTTGGCAAAAATTGAATAGGCGTATGCATTGACCCTCATTATAAGACCTGTCAAATTTACGTGTGGACCAGGACACCAGGACAATTTTCTGAAATCAGGCTAGATCCTGGTAAACCAGGACGCCTGGCAGCCCTCATTTAGCCACAGTTTGTTTGAAATGAATACTTAATGGTATATTTAAACTTTTTTTTTTTAACCTTCGCGAACTCTTCTGGCTAATACTAATACTATATCACCCTTTCCATACCTTTTTTAATTTAACCGAAGGTATTCTTTAGGTGATCGCCATATACTCACTTTAGTGTATCTTCCAGTCCCTGTGGCACGCAGTACAACCAATCGGATTTACCCTGCTTCCACTGCTCATCAACCGAATACTGCAGCTGTGAATCGTATTCCCACGAAGGTACGTCACCAGTAGCTGGATGTGCCATTTCCGCATAACGTGAGGTGTAATAATTTAGACCCAAAAAGTCACCAGAGCCCTTGATAATTGATGACCAAAACTCATCGAAAGCGGGTAAACGAGACCAGGATAGGCCCTCACGCATACTGTTATTTCGAATGTCGTCCAAAATAAGCTGATGATAGTTGCCAGTCTTGCCGTAAATGGGATTAGCCAACCAGCCGAGCTGAAAAGTTGGGAAAGTACTACGCGTTTAGAAATAAATTCGTATTCGATAGCAGCTTCAAAGACATGAAAGTTCAATTAATTTTCAATTACCGAGTATTGCATAGCGCGTTCGATGATCTCCTCATCAGCGCCACCCTGTTGCGTATAGTAGAACCGACTGCTAATTGTGATGCCAATTTTACCGCCTTGCATATCGAAATATTTCGCCCGATACGCTCGATAGGCGGCAGCGTGCGCGCGTAACGTATTATCCATGCAAAGATAATCACCCACACCGGGTGAATGTACCAGTGGTGGGAAGTTGGCCTTGCCATAGCCCAGCACACAATAGTCGAAGGGTTCATTGAAGGTAATCCACTTCTTGACGCGATCACCAAATGTCTCAAATAGGAATTCAGCATAGTAGCGGAAATATTTAATGATGATATCATTGGTGAAACCACCGAATTTGTTCAGTGCATCAGGCAGATCGCAATGAAACATTGTCACCATGGGTTCAATATTATTTGCCAGCAATTTATCAATCGTCTTGTTGTAATAGTCAATGCCCTTTTGATTAATCACCGATGTATCGGCGTTGGGTAACAAGCGCGGCCACGAGAACGAGAAGCGATAGAATTTGACCTGAGAGGCGGCAGCACGTGCGTGAAATGAAATGATATGAAAATTACAAAAAAAAAAAAGAAAGCATACGAGTATTTCCCTCATACCTTAAGTGCCTTTAGCGCCGCTAAGTCCTGCTCGAAACGATGATACGATTCTGCTGCCGTATCACCATTGCTGCGATCGCGTATTCTCTCTGGATTGTCATGCGTGTATGTATCCCAAATGGAGAGTCCTTTGCCATCCTCATTCCATGCGCCTTCTATCTGATAGGCTGCGGTCGATGCACCAAAGGAGAAATCTGTTGGAAATTCTTTGTTTTCGCCTTTGTGTTGTAATTTGCATTTTTCGGTCGCGACTTTGCTGAGAAAGTGCAAGCTGCAAGAAATTTTGCGTTATATTCACTCTTGTTTAGCATTAATATCCTTAGAATTGGTATTTACCAGAGTGCAAGGATAAATAAAGCTTTCATTGCACTGATCTATGTAAATGTTAGCTGGAATTCAATTTTGTTGCTTTCACTTTGAGGTAACTGAGCGGAATGTTTCGAATGTTGTGCTTTAATCGATAAAGAAAAGTACGCCACTTTCAATGGAGTCAGTGTAATTACATGTATGTATGTATGCAAATATGTACGCATTAATAAGATGCCGACAAGCCCCATGCATTAATATGAATGAATGGAGGTAAAAATATACTGCAGAAAAAAGTGTTGGTTGATAATTATAGCCTCGTACATAGGGCATAGTTATCGATATCGAGAAATGTTCATATCGATAACGACACATATTTATCGATATCGAAAAACGATAACGACAAATATTTATCGATATCGACAAACACTCATATCGCTAACGGCACATATTTATCGATATCGAAAAATATTAATATCAATAACGTTACATATATATTGATATAGAAAAATATTCATATGGATGACGACACATATTTATCGATATCAAAAAATATTCATATCGATAACCACGCGTATTTAGCGATATCGACAAATATGACTATCGATAACGATAAATATTCCGATGACGATGTCGCAATTGTTTAACAATCGATAACACAACAAATAATTAAGGATTATAATATAATAACCATGTCGACTATAGTATCGATATTGATATTGGCTTATACATATATCGATAGTAATACCGATAACGATATCCTTTAATAAAACGATATTGATATGAAGAAAGATGTTAGTCAATTTTGATTTCAGAGAATGAGCAATGAACACGGTGTGAGGTTTTGGTGAGTAGTACCGGTATCCATGGACAATCGGTAAATTTCGCCGAAGATGTTAATGGTAGTTTGTGTCGGGGTCAATGAACGACCGGGAGATATACTGGCTAATCGCCTGATAGCTTTTGGCAACGATGATAATACCAGTGACTGCTGGTTGCTCTAGATCAGTGCTCGTCAAACTTTTGAGCGTGACGGACCGGCTGCAGTTTTTCTATTACGTCGGGGACCGGTACCTTTTTTTATTGATTATTTTTCGTTTACGATCATCTCATATATGTATTAAAATTTGTTTACATGAATTTCTTTATTAGCCGGGTGTCTATATATGACCTATTACCATTTAATGATAGCAGATATTAGCGATTTTTTATGAATGTTTAACAAATTTAAGTTGTTTTTATTATACAAGTTGTATATAGCCTCATTAAACAGTAATATAAAACATCACAAATGTAATAACTGTAAAGTTATAATAATAAGACATATTATAAGCGGACCGGCGACTTATGGCTTACGGACCGGCACCGGTCCGTGGACCACCACTTTGACGAGCACTGCTCTAGATGTTGTGGTGGGGGTAGTAGTGATCGTCTTTTGGCTTGCCCGATATCTTCTTGTAGCGGTAAAAATATGGTGAACTTGTTGTATCGCCAATAGCTGTTGGTAAACGGTGCAAACATCGAATGGTGTGCAATGGCGCCTGGCTGCTCTCGGTGGTAACTGATTCTAAAACACGCTGACGGAGACCGGCTCGGCTCAAATGGGAATATAGAAGCAGCAAGGTATAGCCAATGTCACCGCTACAGTCCCACACTTCAAAAGCAGGTGCTGGAGAGGAACAAACTCAAGGCTGAACTATTTCAGGATCCCTCATCCGGTTCCAAGTGACCAAGTATTTTACGAAAAAGCTGAAGGAATTTAAAGCCGTATTCTAACAAAGTCACAAACCTTAGCTCATCACTGCCATGATTTCCACTGCGCTTCAAAGTTTGCTGCTGCAACAAATATGCCGCTGCAACATGAATTTTTAAGTTTTTGTGTATTTTTCTAGCACTTAACATAAAAATTTTGTAGCAGATTTTAGGCCGCACTAGAAATCCCAACAGTGATGACCTAAGTTGACTCTGTTGGAATAGAGGAATTCATATGGCTTTCACTTGCACGTAGAAAAACTTCCTGAGAATCCTTTTACACAGAAAAAAATACTCGCTATATGGCGCTTTTGTCTAAAAAGCATATTTAAGAAATATATATTTTTTTAGAAGAAACTACATTGGGCCTCATGCATAAAAAGTGAATATCAGTACAAATTGTTGAGCTTGAGCTCACTCCTCTGGTGCCAGAATTGAGTCGGAGCATTAGGCCCATTGTCTTCGAGAGAAATTAGGCCTACTAGGTGGCGCAATGGTCGATATGTTCTAGCAAAATCGCATCCTCGACCAAATTTTATTACCTGCTATGAAAAAGAATTAGCTACATACGAAGAAAAGCATTGGCTAAATTAGACCAAAAAGGTTTTCTAGTAGCCAGGTGGCCGCTGTGCTGTAGTGGTAAGCAGTGCGCGCTACCACTCCGCAGGGTCTGGCTACAAGCCCTGGCCAAAGAAACATCGCAAAAAAACAAAAACTATTGTAAAAGAAGGTGTTTTCTTAATAGCGGTCGCCCCTCGGCAGGCAATGGCAAACCACCGAGTGTATTTCTGCCATGAAAAACAGCTTCTCATAAAAATACAACCGCCGTTCGGAGTCGCACGCCACAAATCGGAGGCCAAACACTAACATATATGTATATAAGTGCCAATCTATTATTATTATTATTATTATTATTATTACAAACAGAAAGATTTTAAAAAGGGCTACCATCTCCCGGTGCAGTTTTATTATTGAAAATTACTTTTTTTTAATTCCGCTTCCCCCTTATTCGAAAATGAAAATTAAAGAATTTTGTAGAGTAAAATGAATTAACATTATACTTAAATAGCTTCTAATAGGGTTGCCACCTATCCCAATCTTCATAACAAATAAATCGGTTAATTACAATATGTTTTTGAAATAGGTTAGCTAAGTATGTTATTCAACGTTTCTAAGGAAACCTTTTTACACCTTTCTTGATATCTTCGGCAATTTCAGACAGATCTTAAGGCATGCTTCTTCCTTTTTTTTTGTCTTAAGGCTACAAGTTTTTTGGTCCAAAGTTCATTGACATCAAGAACCCCGCTCTAGTACTTTTCCACCAGATCTCAGTTCTTATCACCCTAAGGTACTATCCTAATGTCAGTAAAGAAAGCATTAAACTTTTTCTATGGATACATTTCGATTATTCCAAAAGTAATATTTCTAAAAAAAATTTTTTTTTGATTGAGAAATCGTGTTGAAGATCACCAAAAATTTTATAACTTAAAGGGGTTTTTGGTAAATTGAAGACTTAGTAAAATCCAGACCAAATACAACTTATGAGGACAGTTGCTCCTGTTTGAAAATCTCTCTAGAAGAACGAGGAGTGAACGAAAAAACAAATTGAACCCCATTATTTGATCTCTTAAGTACATAGAACATTTTGGCCCGAAATTTTAAGGAAGTGAGAAGTATGAGCACGGTCTTACAAAAAAATTGCTTCATGATATTCTTTCAAACCCTTTTTCGAGAAGATTCTCTACTCTAAACTACGAAAAAATATTAAAATCTTAGCCGTTAAATCAATCAATTGTCCGATTACTAAAATTTTCCGTTTTTATTTGTTTTTAATTGAAACCCCAGCAAAATATTCAATGTTACGGCTTGACTGCCAACACAACGGAGTCATAAATAACTCATGCGGATAACAACAAATAAAAATAACATAGCCTCTCAACACTGATAAGCCAACGCTGTGAAAGACCTTTGAGAGGGCCAAAGGCAGCGCACGAACGCGCACTTCCTCTAAAAAAAAAAATAAAAAACTGGCTTGCATCAGCGGTGATTCGTGCCACGAGGGAATGACCAGCGGAAAAGGGGGCAGCGACGAACGAATGGCAACACTATTCATGAGCACTAAAGTGTTGATCGGCCTGCCAATCCGCGCAAAATCTGCTCAATTTGTTTTCAGTATAGATTTAGCATGAAGCGCGAACGCTTAGAAGTAAATTTAAGTGCGATAAAACTAAATTTGCTAAAAATTTTAAACGCGTTTTTGGGGGTGTGAAATCAGCAAAAAAAAGTGTTTCAAAAGTGACAAAAGCGTTTAAAAATAGAATTGAAGAACGCAAAACAAGAGTTAGAAAATTTTAAAAAAAGTTTTGCAAAGTAAAAAAAGATTTTGGAGAATAAAAAAAGTTCGCACCGAAAATTCAACCAAAGTGTGTAACAAATTAAAATTGATTAAACCTCTACAGAAAAAAAACGTTGAGCAAACGCCCCTTTTTCCTATGCTACCATGACAACACTTTTAGTACGTAAGACATCACATGCTTTTTTGTTGCTGTTGCTATGCCTACACTTCATTGCATTTGTTGCCAATGCAGAGGCGCAGTGGCAGCGGCGGCGGCAGCGGAATCGACGACAACGTCTACCCTATGCAATGACTGAAGAACCCTCCGACGGTTATGATGATGATGATGCGGAATCAAACGACGTGACTCCTTATCAGCAGCGCTCCTCCTACCGGCGGAGCAATGCACGTCGCAGACAATTTGATGTAGACGATGCAAACTATCAACAACTAAATAATCGTCAGTTGACAACATCAGGCTCACAACAACTGACGCGGCGTCAACTACGTAAAGAACAACAACGTCTACCGAAGCAAGCAAGAGGTCAAATGCGGTCTGGTGAAATGCAAATGGACGGAAATAAATGCCATATTTGGGTGCCGTAAGTGTGGGTTGTGGGGGCGGGGGGATATTGAAATGTAAATGGGGGTCGTTATCTGATAAACTTTCATACATTTTAGCTTTTACATAAATAAAGATCAGAATAATGAGACATATTGCTACATATTGAAAGTACGAGTCGATATAGTAATTGGGCAATTCTGGCTAAGTTAGTAAAAAAGTCTTTCGTAAGAAAAATTAAAGACGGATTGCAATATAGTAAGAAACACTTTCGTTATTCTTTCACCAAAGTTTTACAGGGTAATTCTGGCAAATATTTTTCCCCTCACTACAGTCTTTCGAAAGACAAAAGTCTTTCGTAACAAAATTGACAATTCTAGCAACTGTATTGAAAACTCTTTACAGTCTTTCGAAATAGTAATTGAAAGACCTTTTAGCATTCAGTGTTTTTTTTTTAATTAAGTTAAATAAAACAAATACATATATATTTTT